ATCTCGTTTCCCGTCGGCTGAACAGACAATCACGTGACCCCTACCCTGATACTAATTCACGAGTTGCACATTCCCAGAGTCCTTTGCGCCCAGGGTAGGTCACGTGGGCGTGACGACACGCACAGGGTAGGGAAAATTTTGCGGCAGTGCGATTTTACGACAGTTTACGACAGTTTATCACTTGCGCGCCAAACCTGAAGCCAGAGTAGGTGGACCAGACGAAGTGGACAGTAAAACGCCGCAAAGTATGATATGTTTTCATTATCTCTCACCAACAATGTCATTTTGAGATGCCTTAGGTATCTATTGGGTAAAATAGTACATTAAGGTAAGGTTATTTTGTCGAAAGACGTAGAACTAATGTTTGACGCGTTCATATTTTTCACAGAAAGGGGGAGGGGGGCAGGAAATTGTTATATGCCATTATCATTTGATTGAGCATTTACATATTATGTTGTGCTTGTCTTGTTTAACAGTTTAATTGGACGGCCCAATTTGGGTTTAATGATTACTTTAGCAGCCAACACGTTTGACATTGGGTATGACCCACATGCCAATGTATAACTCAGAAGGACAACGTCAAGTTATTATTCATCAAGTTAAATAAGATATTGTTGTAATGAATTTTTATTTCCACTTCCTGATTTTTTTAGTCTTGCAGATATCGGCTAATAGTTTGATACATGTCAGAATTTTATATAATTGCAACATCACTGTTGTTAAAAGTACTCTCTAACAATAACCTACGTTTTTGCAAGCATCAGGAAACAATGCAGCTCCTGACAGAATGATTTTGTTGCAGGATGGGGAAATGGGACGGCTGTTGCGTACCGGGATGCGGTTCTACAAGAACAAACAGCCCAAACCTTAGCTTTTACCGACTGCCAGAGAAACCAACCAGAAAACAACTCTGGCTAAGAGCCATAGGGAAAGTGTGTACTTCAAAACTATGGAAACCTAGTAAGACAGCAAAAATATGTTCCATGCACTTTATCAATGGAACAAAATCGGACACCCCTGGCACATCTGGGTATGTACCAACCATTTTTGAGCAGATAGAATTAGAAGGTGACTGCAAGAGCAGACAGAAGAACGACAGAACAACGGTACTGAAAGCAACAACAACAACAGCAACCGTAAGTCAGCCTGAGACAGTGAGTCAACCAACAGTCAACCCTTCTGTTGATGACGAAATCAGGAGTGAAATGTCAAGAGATGATGAAGATGTGCCCCGGTCCAATGGACATGACTATCTGAAGACTATGGAAGATACCAGTACAACGGTGGACTTTGAGGAGTACGTAAGGTTGCGAGTGGAAATGGAGGAAATGAAGGCAGAGGTTGAAAAACTGAAGAAGGCTTGCCTGCGCCTTGACAACATAAAGGACAATAATGACAAATTCAGGTTCTGGACAGGTTTTCCGAACTATGGAACATTCCAGGCTTTGTTTGAATACCTGAAACCAAAGGCTGCAGGGATGAAATACTGGAGAGGGGGCGCCACGTTGGATAGCGAACACTACTCGTACCGCTACTCAATGAAGCCTGGACAAAGAAGAACTCTGACATTGGAAGAGGAGTTCTTCGCTGTAATGGTGCGTTTGAGAGTCGGACTGTTGGTGAAGGACATCGCAGCCAGGTTCCTGATAAGTGAGTCTACTTTTTCAAGGCTCTTTACGTCTTGGATTAACTTGATGTACCAAGAACTGAAAGGTATGTTCGAACTCCCAAGTAGGAAAGTTGCCCAAGAAGGAAAGGCACGTTGTTTCAATCTCTTTCCAGAGGTCTATATCACTGTAGATTGTACAGAGTTGTTCACTGAGAAACCTTCAGACTTAGATACTAGAAAGCAGCTGTATTCAAACTATAAACACCATGAAACTGTAAAGTTCTTGATTGGAGTTAGCCCTTCTATGGCAGTAATCTATTGCTCACCATGCTATGGAGGCAGGGCATCAGATAAGTACATCACAGGAGCCAGCGAGGACCTCTTACAGTCACTTAAACCTGGAGACAGTGTAATGGCTGATAAGGGGTTTACTGTTGAGTGTGAACTAGCTGAATTAGGTGTTAAGTTGCTAGTTCCTGATTTCAAAGGAGTGGGTCGCTCCCAGCTGACAAGTGCTGAGGTTGAAAGGTCAAATGGAATCTCCAAGGCCCGGGTACATGTCGAAAGAATAATTGGTCGAATAAAGAGATTTCATATCCTGGACGGACAGTTGAAGCTGTCAATGAGCAACAGCTTGGAACAAATTTTTGTCGTGTGCGCATATCTAGTGAACTTTCAAACACCTGTTGTGAGGAATGATGGTGTAAATGGCACACAGTAACTGCATACTTTACAAACTGGTTTAAAAAGCATTCCTCAAAGACAGTTTCATCTGCCATTTTCAACGTGTATACTAGTATGTCCTAACATTGTAACTTCTGAACACAAATGACAATGTATCCACAAACTTGAAAAGACAAAAATTGTCTGAAGTTTTCTATTTTATTTCGATATCTTGCATAAGATAATATAGTATCTCTTTATTTCTTCTTCAACTTTGTACATGTACAAAATGTATAAGTAATGCCTTTTTGTACGGAGTCACGGGAGTATTGTAAATTGCCACCAATGTGTCTTTTAGGCAACTAAATATCGAGATGTAATGTACTTTTGGTTTGATTCCACTATTCCATCTGTTACTTGCCCTTGCTTTCATATTTACATTTGTACTAATGCTTGTGAATTGTCTCATGTCTGTAGGCAACAAGATCAAACATCTAAATATAGAAGAAAAAGGCTTAAGCTTCCTAGTAAAGTTCTCTATTTCTTTGGTAATAATACTAACTGTTACAGCAGGATACAGACTTGTTGAGGATACTTAGGGGTTTTTTTTAATTGTTAATTAAGCCAGACTTTTTTTCACTACACATACATTGCAACTATCTCAAAGGATACTTTTCTCTCTAATAGGCATATTATGTTTGCTGAAAAGTTGCTTGTTAAGAACAGTTAAAAAAGAAACAACAACAACTTTTGAATAAGAGCAATGAACAAGTCAAACTTTTCTGTACTGAATAGGTATCTACTTGAGTCTTGATTTCTTAAATGCTGGGCCTTGATCCAGGGTCTTTTTTACTGCACCAGAAAGAATCTCTTCCACTATGAAACCTTTAAAGAAATCCTCTGCACAGTTCATCATATGTGAAACGTATGTGTCATCATATGTGACAGGTACTACAAGAATACCACCTTTCGTCCATACTACTAAGTCACATTTATGATGGCCCGTCACAGCCATTGTCCACTGGATCTGTGAATAGTAACCTCGCTTCTTTTTATGTAGGTGGTGATGGTCTCCATTTTTATTAATCCAGTCTATTTTTCCTTCCCTGACAGCTGCTTGAGGACTAAGTTGGGTATCCGGGGATTTTATTTCAATAATTTTTTCAGGTTCCCCCCCAATAGATACAATGCCATCTGGGCTGGCACCGCACCAGGGTTTATCAGGGAGGACGACAAAACCACTTTCACTTACAGTGACACCTGGACAGTTGTCTTTCAGTAGTTGCTCATACTCCTTCCTTGCTTTCGACTCATTTGCAAGTCCAAGCCTCATTGCCCGTGTCTTGATGTCTTTTGTTGAGTATCCCATGATATTCTTTATCAAGTTTGATGGCGAGGCATCGTATCCCTTGTTAACTTTCTCCATCGTAGAGCATACAGCATGGACCACCGAGCCGGTAATCCGGCCTTGCCTATAATATCTCCATCTTTCTGATAAACTTTGTTGTTTTGTTTCCGACTCAATCATCATTGCCTGCCTTGGAGAGAGATGTAAGGATGACAAAAATTTCTCTTTTGCATAAGGCATGAATTTGTATTTTTTCAGGTCCATGTGATCACAGATATCTGGAAGGGACAGAGGTGCTGTTTCTACTGTTTCCATTTGCGCAACAATGTCAATGTCAGCCTCCCCAGCAGGAAACAGGTGTATGTTCTGTTTTGTAGTACAAGTGTTTGATGCTCTTTCTTCGCTGATACGTCGTATGATGACCATACCAGGTGGAGGTGGGCCATTTCTGTTTGCTTCCTGCAACTTCCTTTCCATCTGCAAGAATGCCTTAGTTGGTGATACTACTTGTGTTGGGGCCAGTTGAGCCTTTCCATAATTTGCGATTTTGGCACACCTTCTGTTTTTCTTTGTCTTTTTAGCTTTGAACTTGAACTTCTTAATTGTCATGTCTTGCAGAGGTATTGGTTGTACCTTTGAACCTGAAACAACAAATAAAATGGGAACCATAAGTATTACTAACATCAATACAATAAACATATATGACACACTAAATACTCTTATACTGAGCTTACAAAGAAATCAAATTCATGTACCTCTTGGTTCCGTCCATTGACACAGACGTTCCGTGGCTGATAGGTCATCTGGAAGCCTTTGCTGTCCTCTGGAGATGAAATCGCTCAAGACAAACAGCAGCGCACCAGTGTGGGAGCAAGTGCCTCCTTGCCTGAAAAATGAAATGTGACATCAGTACGCTTTACTTCAGCAGGTATTGCAGTCATGTTCTATGAGATCAGCTACAACCAAAAAATGAAAGGATCAAAGGAAACAATAACAATACTTGATGATACCCACCCGCCAGTGCATACACAGTAACCTCCATAGGGATGCCCATCTTCAACATCCAAAATCACGTACATCCATTTCTCCCTTTCTGGGTCAGTGCTTTGTGATGATAAACACTTTCCTTGTACTGTGCAGAAAGGATGAAACTCACTGGTTTTGTTGAACTGAATACTGTGCACGTAGCCTTGTTCAATTTTTTGTACGGTTCCAATGTTTTGTATGTTCTTCCACAAGCACTCTTCTTTCCCACCAAGTACTGAGCGATCATTATGTCATTGATTGGGGGGACCTCATTCATTCTTTTAGTCCATCCTGTTAACCTTGCCACAGTCACAGGATTCAGTTTGGAATAGGTGGCATTGTCCTTCTCACAAAGCTCTTCCCTACAGCGGAAATCAACACTGTCCTCTCCTGATGGTGATATTAACAGTGACAGGCACAGGAGAGTTTTCATTGCCAACATACTCAGCGAGTCATCCAATTTCTTCCTTCTACACTGACTTTTCAAGTCCCGTTTGGAAAGTTTTTGTACATCTGAGTACGTAACAGGCTCCCCTGTAAACATCTCATCAGTAGCAGTGTTCTCATTCACCTCAGAATACATAGAGGCTGAAGCAAATGCTGGAGTGGCCAACGTGCGTTGTGAATCAGATGGCACCAAAATGACCAGCTTGTTTGTAGCAGCTAATGACTGGGCCACAGGTACACTTGCCTTCCTGTGTAGCACAGGTGCTGACTGGCCTGCAAGTACACTTGCCTTCCTGAGTAGCTCAGAAGCTGACTGGCTTACAGGTACACTTGCCTTGCTGTGTAGCACAGATGCTGGCTGGCTTACAGGTACACTTGCCTTGCTGTGTAGCACAGGTGCTGACTGGCCTACAGGTACACTTGCCTTGCTGTGTAGCACAGATGCTGGCTGGCTTACAGGTACACTTGCCTTGCTGTGTAGCACAGATGCTGACTGGCCTACAGGTACACTTGCCTTGCTGTGTAGCACAGATGCTGGCTGGCTTACAGGTACACTTGCCTTGCTGTGTAGCACAGATGCTGACTGGCCTACAGGTACACTTGCCTTGCTGTGTAGCACAGATGCTGGCTGGCCTACAGGTACACTTGCCTTGCTGTGTAGCACAGATGCTGGCTGGCCTACAGGTACACTTGCCTTCCTGAGTAGCACAGGTGCTGAAGGGACTCTACCGTGCTGGCTGAGCCTCTGTACCACTGTCGCGTATGTCGGGGCTACAGGTAAACTGCCAACTAGAACAGGTGCTGGTGGCCTTTTAGGTGGCTGGCTTTGTCTTGCTGGCAGTTTTACAAATGTCATTGGCTTTATGGATTCTTCTGCATGATATATGAATGTGGAAATATGGTCTGATTTCTGTGTCCGGTATGGAGATGGTTTTCCTTCCAAGTCAGCAAGGGAATGAGCACATTTTGTTTGACAGCCAAGATCGTCCAGCTCCCAGAACATGTTGCAATAGTTGACAACTGCACTGAAATGGCCAGGGGCGGTCTTGATTGCACCTGTCAGGATGTATGGTTTGTTGAAGATGGTAAGGCGCTCTTCCACCACCACTCCTGGTATCATTTCTCTCTCACCTGGCCGTGGTGGAGCTGTGTGCTCGTGGATTGTTGTTGGCGAGTCACTTGTTAAGTCAATGGGGGAACAGGGGCGAACTGGATGACACTGGGGCAATACAACAACCAGGATGTTGGGGAGCTTTACTTTGAAATCTGTCAACTGAACCTGCATACTCCTCGTCTTACAGTTCTTGCAACGTTTCACTCCCACTTCAGGGTGCAGGATGTATCCCTGCAATGCCATATTCATACTGTACCCATATTGACGGAAATGGTCATAGTTGAGGTAGGTGAGCACATCTTCTCGCTGGAGTGAGATGGTATCATTGCATGAAATGCAAGAGGCCTTGTAGTCAGACTGTGTCATGAAGTATAATTGCTCTTCTTTGGTTTCCGCCATTAGTTCAAATGCCTCATGGACTTCAGCAAGATCTGTACCTTTAGGGGCAAAGCTCTTGGTTTTCTTGACCAGAATCCCCCAGGGACCTTCTCTGGAGATACTTAGTTGTGCAGGTGATGTTGTAGGTGTGCGAGTGAGACAGGAGTTGTGAACAGAAGACAGGAAAGGGCCAGTGTTGAGAGATGAGAGACCAGAAAAGTTATTGCTGAAGATTCCATAATAGTAACAGTCCAGGAAAGCGTCCACTCCGCACGAAAACAAGCCTGGCACTTCCCTACATTTGTTAACATGCCCCGTTGGTGTTTTCACCTTCGTTGGCAACAGAATCTGAAAAATTAAAATTCTTCACTTAATATATATATATACAACAGCATTTGTTGAATTGTATTGAGAACTTGCTAGTTGTTTTGCTCTTGTCACTGACAGATGGTATACCTATGAAGAGAGCACATGCTTCCCTCTTTTACTAGAAAAACACAAGAATTTCACACCTTGTATAAGTGACCTAATTTCAAACAGAAAACACTCACCAACCTCGCTTTATTTACAAAACTACTTTTTACGAAGGCTGCCAAGAGTATGATGATAAACATACAAGTACTCGTTGTTTAAATTGTTTTAGCGCCATCGAAGAATGTGCAACTAGCGGCTCACGCGTCACGGTCGAAAAAACAACAACATCACTTGAACACAAATAAAACAAGCTGTATTATAGAATGTTTGATTTACATATGGGTTTTTTTAGATGTCATCAAATAGTATACGTTATTTTCTATGAGTAGTGCACTTACCGACTTGCTGCGATAACAGGCCATCTTGTTTACAATTCGTGTTTCGCGCGCTAACCGAAACTGTCGTAAACTGTCGTAAAATCGCACTGCCGCAAAATTCTCCCTACCCTGTGCGTGTCGTCACGCCCACGTGACCTACCCTGGGCGCAAAGGACTCTGGGAATGTGCAACTCGTGAATGACCCGTAAAAAGTCAAAGGTCATAGTGCACGCATATTACGCAATCACCCTAAAGCGCCGATTTAGCTAATTTTAGGGCGTTTAAAATGGATAAAATCACATTATTGATTTTTAGGAAAACAATGGGATGAAAACTAATCAAAACTTTGTGCTGAATAATTTTTTTTCTTCAGAAGTTTTTTTCTTTCAGAATTTTTTTCTTCAGAATTTTTTTTCTTCAGAAGTTTTTTCTTCAGAAGTTTTTTTTTTCAGTAAGTTTTTTTTTCTTCAGTAAGTTTTTTTTTCTTC